CCTACAGATTTAATCCTGCAAGATTACATTAGAAGATTTCTTTGGTCTTTAATTGTGTATTTTTCAGCGGTAAGCTAGCATTTCAACCTCTGCCATGGTAGCACAGCACAATTCATGAAATGCATTGAATTCCATCTCGCATTCATGGTATCGGATATCTTTGAAATGGCAGATATAATAAAAAATTAGTGAAAACTTAAAGCTGTAGTTAGTCCTTCTGGCTTACGTCCAAAACATGTTCCTTAATCGTCCTACTGGTAGATAGATAAATCTATATGTCCGTACACGTGCACAAAGCAGCTCACTCCATCTTTAAAAACTCTGTTGCTATGCTCAAAGTAAATGGACAAGCATGTGCATCCTTACTTTGCAAGCCTTTATATAGATATATTAAAAAAAAAAATAACCCCAACTGAACAACCCTGCTGAAAAAAGTGCTTATTTCTCCTTCAAAAGAACATGCTCACTTGCCTTCAGTTTATTGCCTTCTTTTTCCATTTTCTTTCTCTTTTTAAAACAGATTTCTTCCTTTTTTTTTTTAACTATATGTTACCTTAAAGATATATTTTATTACTCGGAAATTGTTTTATTTCATTACAACACCCAAATTCTAAGTTAGGCTGTGCAGGTAAATAGAAATCTTTACTGACCCGAAGGAGGTGAGGTATTCCTTTTACATTAGGAGTAGGCTGATGGTAAGAAAATAACTCCTTTCTGCTTCCGAAATTCCCCTCCTTTATGATAAGGCTGACAACCTCTGAAAACCATGTACGTACACACACACAAATATATTTTCACAGTTGCTAGATAAATCTCTGCTGAAAGGGATGCAAGGCTTTCAAACCGTTAATTCAGTCCAGAAAACACTTGGTAGGCATTGCTAATTCGTGTGGTTTCCCAGTCAGTTTAGGAAGACCGATGCTCGTAGCGGGCATCCCCATCCAGCAGAAATGAAATACTCCACAGCAGGCATCTTCATCACAGGAGGAAGCCGTGTTCCTCCGTACCCACCCAGACCTCTTATTTCCCACCTGGAGTCTGAAAACTGGGATGATAAACCACTAAGTCTAGAAAAATCACTGCCACGCAGCGTCAAGAAAACCGAGACTCAAGCACGCAAGGCATTTGCTATATCGCTGTTCAGCAATTGCTTCCCTAAAACACAGGTGAGGCTGCACTCCGCATTAGTCATCCTGCTCAATCACTCTTCTATTTCGACCAAAGCGGCAGCAATAATGTACTTTGGATGACTCCTAGCAGCAAACCAATTTGCCACAGAAGAGTAAAATAATTTCAGAAATTAATACAACGAGGAAGAATCAACGTAGCTCAGTCATCCAGATTTCAAATCAGCACGACGCTTAACTACGAGTTTATATTGAAGTATACGAGCAATCACATTTAGTTCAGTGAGATTACCGTTTAAAGGTCAGACTTGCTAAAACGCTTTCCTGAACCGAAGCTTCAATCAATTAGGCTATAAAAGCCAGCCAGGACTACCCAGCTAGTACAAATCCGTGCCATTTAAACTAGCGTCTCATTTCTTGCAGGCTTGCCTGCTTCTGCCAGCACACAAGCACAGGATCTCTGCCAGGCTCCTTGGGACAAGTCAATTCACACAACTGCCAAAATCCGAATCTACCCCGTTCAAATGCGGCTGTGTGTGCAAAAACTTACGTTCCCACCCGGCAATGGAAACACAGCTGGAGTGATGGACAAGGACTCGGTGGGGACTGCGAGCACACGCGGCACTCCTTACGTTAGAAGGGTCTTTACTGGGGCAGTGCTGAATGCCGGGCTTTATTTCGACCGTGTACCAAATGCATTTATTTTTCATCAACTTTCTTTTTGCTAGACGCACATTTCAGTAAGAAAAGATTGTTAAAAAGCCCTCTGTACCACGAAAACCTAACAATGCAAAAGAAAGATTATTTTATTTTTCCTGGGAAAAAATATAATGCTAATTCTGAAAATAAGTCTCAGTGCTGAAAATAAATTATTAATTTAATAGCATTTTAAAACTTCAGATCACAAAAATATGAATGCAAGATATACAAACAATTAGGATATCTAACTTAGAGCCTCCTTCCCTAGAGATTCAAGACAAAAATTATTTTACTAGAACTGATGGCTTATTTATGTTACAGTAGCAGTATTTGGACAAGGCAAGCGTTATCGTTTTTACAACTACTTTTCCATAGTGCCCTTTAGGCTTGATAGCTCCCTACTATTGTTAAGGTCAGAGGACAAGTTCATAAAACCTCTAAATCATACATAACAAGACTTAAAAACCTAAGATATATCATTTTTTTTCCCTAGGCTTATGCAGAAGAATCAAAGCACAGACAATGACCAGCAGAAATAATGACTGCATTAAACAAGGCTGCATGAGAAATTTATGAAGCAAAATTTTTCTTTTTTTTTTTTTTTTTTTTTTTTCTCTGGCAGTATGAGAAGAGCCGTAAGACCTTTTTTTCCAGGAAACTAAAACAAACACCAGCAGTCAACAGACTTGTTATAGACCTGACTCTGTAAGATCTTCTTTCAATTCTCCTCTTTTTTTTTTTTTTTATTTTTTTTATTTTATTTCAATTTGGCAGGAAAAGGCCTCTAACATTATACGGACAATGCCCTTTCAATGTAATGTTACTTGGCTAAGTACTTCTGAACTAATTCTCAGCAACAACCACAGCTCAAACTGCATACTGTTTTTTTGTTTGATTTGTTTGTTTTCAAGTAAAACATTTTATTTTCCTATCAGGTAAGAAAAGAAAATAACTTGACTACTCATTTGTCATTAATACCTTCCTTACTTACCTGCAATAAGCATCATAAAGATAGGGGAAAACAAGAAAAAAGAAGTTGTTTTTTTGTTTTTAAATTCAATAAATGTGAACATTAGGAAAAAAATTCTACAAAATAGTTACAGAATAATGAATTCTGTAGAAGTCCTGCATAAACACTGATTCCAGGACCAGACACTTAAAAAGGAAATGATTGGTAGAAACAAAACAAGACATGGATATCTTTCTCATAAAGAGACGGTACAACACACCAATTTAAAGTTGCTGTCATAAATGGTATGGATTTTTCAACAAATGATTTTGCCTGACACACTGTACTCTGTGTTATTAGTAAAACAGTACATATGCCCCACAAACCAGCGTCATGCTTGGTTACATTTTAGTTTTGAAATGTATGTAAAATTATAAGCTTTTATACTTAATATCCAACTTCACTTATAGTCTTTTTTAAACTGGAATTTGACAATTCACCTTATTTCTAGACAATCCCATTTTCCAACCACATTATATATTAATAAATATAATCAGACTACATATACATTTCAACTGATCAGCATAAATCAATGTCAATTATGAACAAGTGTTAGAGAGACAAAATGTGACACTTCACACTTGATGTTGTCAAAGTGTCACATAAATATGTTCTAAGGACAATATATATTTTGGCTGAATTTCAGTCCCAAATAGGACTTTATCACAGCTGCGTGCGTCTGTAGAAGTTTTTGACCTAGCAAAAATCTCATCTATTTTTCATTTTCAAAAGCGTAAAATACATTTTCCTGAGATTTTCATGAACATGAATGCACATTCTGTTTCTGTGCCAAGTGTGTTACCTGCCCTTCCGCCACTGTCTCTGTATCAATGATAGTGATGATTCCAGGCACCAGAGGACTTCGACGAATGTTGCTATGAGCTAAAATTTCTTCTTCGGTTGCTCCTGAAGGCAGCGTCCCTGTCAGCTGCGTAACTACTTTCCCAACCATTGTAAGTCCAGTCTTTATCGTCTATAAAAAGAAAAAGAACCAATAAATAATGTTTAGGGCTGCTTTGCAGATCTATCTTGAAAAAATTCCATTAATATAACTAGATGGCGCACACCAGAAGTGCACAAACCAAATGTTTTTTTTTTTAAGTGACATATAAGCTGCAAAAGGCTGTATGTAACAGAAATACCTGGAAAAAATTTAGCATCCTATCAATTTGAAGTATTCACCTTTATTTTGGAATTAAATGCTTCCAAAATAATATGTCAGTGTTGTCTAAATGTTACAGTTTCTTCCCTCTTTAACTTTGTTATTCACTTATTCTAAGAGGTAAAGAGCGTTAATAGTTAGAAGAATCAAATGATGAAGCCAAGAGGGGTGCGTGTGGAGGGCAGTGTTACACAGAGAAATATTTCTAGCCCCTAATGGTTAATGCTGAAATAGTTATGTCTTCTGCACAAGTGCAAGAGGCAAGGAATTTGGCCTTTGATAGTTATGACACATTCATTTGTTTCTCAGCAATTAGGCCTTTTGCAGCATTAAAACTGAATACGGGACTCAAACCCAGCAAAATTAAAAATGCCATCCTCAAGGTACTAGAAAAGATAACTCTGTAGAAAGTACACACATATCCCATTAAAAATAATGTGACTTTCCATAGTCTGCATGTTTTCCAGACGTGGGTTTGAAAACATATTCATCGCACCAGCTTTTGTTGTCTAAAGATGAAGATTGTTTTCACATTTTATTTGGAGAAAGTGGGAGAGTACACACAGTAGGAGACATACAGGTATTTTAAAAAAACAAACAAATAAAAAAACCAACACACAATCCAAACTACAACTTTAAATACTTTCTCCTTGAATCAAGGACTGAGCCTTATTTGCCTATAAAGAATTGAGCAGATTTATTATGCTGTATAAAAAGAAATAGCAAAAGAGATCAGAATGGAATGACACTATAACAAGCCAATTCTTAACTAAAAAGACAAGCTAAGCTGCCTGCTAAATTGAAAAGGAAAAAAACTGCACAGATCACAGGCTGAAACCAAGAGGCAGCCACAAATCAATTGCAACTGCTTTGTTTAGTGCTAAAATCTCAAACTGCAGTGATTAGAAAACACATTAGTGTTCATCAATTAGCAGCCAAACGTTTGTTTTAATAATTCATAAGAAATGACTTACACAAAGTCTGTTAGTGTGTTGTCAGGAAAACCTCTGAAGGGCCAACAGAATTAGGCGCCACACTGTATTGATGGCAATATCTAGCCAGGAAGCCTGATTAACCTCTGAGATGCCTCAGCTGATGTACTTACCCCATTAATGCTAATGGAGATACTACCACTTAAAATCGAGCCATGCCTTTATCATAGGAATGTCTTTGGGGTTTAAACTCTTTAGTAATATCCTGCCTTTTGTTTCTTATTATTCCTTTTTATACTCAGATGCAACGCATGAGAATAAAACAAATGTTAACAGTGGCAAATTCAGAAGACTGAAAAACGTAACATAAAGCAGATCACGCTATCCGAGGAACAGACCTAAAATAGACCCAATGCCATCACCAGAATGCATTTCAACAGACACTTTCCTTACAAAAACTGACAAGGCAGTTTTCTGACCAACAGTTAAAATCGTATAAAACACCCTGGCAGTTCATACAGCAGGAAAGAGAAATCAGCATGGAAGTACCATATGGCAAAATACCTATGCAAGTTAAAAGACCAAGAATTGTAACTGACCTATTTTAGAAAATATCTTTAATATTATAACTGGAGAAACTGGATGACAAAGTGCCAAGTATCAATTTATAGCTGTCTAGAAAAAAATTAACCTGCTTATCTAGCAAAATAAATTACCATTACATGTTAGGGTAGACTGTGACTGCAGGACTACTGAGAAGTAATAGGTGTACAAAGACGTGGCTGAGGCCATTAGCTCAGAAATATCAGTGCAAAACCATTACGGCACTTACTTCTTTGTGCTATGTGTATATTTGCAAAAACTTCTCTGGTAATCTTTAACCTTTCCCATGCCATATCAGCTGTCCCCTCCATCCATTAGAGCTAATGACCTTGCTCTCACATAAGCTGTTAGTACTCATTAAGAAGTTATCAGGTAACAAGAGAAAACAGATGCAGCCTTTGCTAAATCACTTTACCACTACAGGATTAAAAGATATGGAGAAAGAATCAACTAAAGAAGTTATGAGGTGAGAGGAACTTGGTTTATAATTTGATGCTAGACATTCGACAGACCAAATACATTTTAAATGAAATAGGTTAAAGTTTGCACTGTCCCAGTTCCTTTGTCATTGATGGGAACCTGCCAGTGCACACTCAGTGAAATTTTCATATAAATAAAATTAAAATACTCGATCCAGTTCCTTTTGTAAGCAACGAAGCGCATTGTGCAAACGCACAAATTATTTGTATGCTCACATGTACCCTAGCTACTTAAAAATAAGACTGTTCGCATTCATTCAAATATAAAGAAACACATATATTTAATTAAAATAAATGTATGCACTCATACCTCATTTAATTGAAAAATAAGTACAGCTTTAATTAGATGAGAAAATTAAAATGCATCATTCAGTGCCTGTTAGGCTGTTTTGTTCCAGCAAAGGTCTTGCATCCTTTTAGTGACAAAACAATATATTGTTCCTGTTTCTCATAATAAATACATTTTACATTATTTGTTTGTTTACAAATGAAAAAGCTATAGAAAGCAGAAAGAGATATCGGAAAGATATGCCTTGGTAATGAACAATATGAAAGCCTCACGGTTAGTTTGAACAAAATGAACATACAATCAATTATAGATTCAAGTTCAAACTACATGTTTGTTGAAATGCTCCTGTTTCGCAAAGATGTTTCCCTTTCCTTCCTGTATTCTGAAAAGAGGTAGGTCAGGAAGGAAAACCTATTAGGAAATCCATCTTAAACAGCATGGCAAGCTTGACCGCGAGGAATACATTATGATGGAGAAGGTCCGCATGAGCACCACGTGAGCAGAGCGAGTTGAAACATGGCTCGCCAGGGACATGGTGGGACCAAACCTCTCTTCAACAAGACATACAAAAAAACCAAGCACGGAGACATAAGAACGTCTTTTCCTATGTCCCTTTCCTTGCTGCATCCAAAACGGATAAATATGGATAATTATAACAAGCAACAAGCATTTGGATGCTTATCTCAAGCCAAGCACCTGAATATTGTCCCGTCACTAATACTGTTAAATAACAATGGGGTTTATTCTCAAAGATATTCTATGTCCATTCCACTGCGTGTGTTCAACTGGAGTGAAAAGATTCTTTATCCCGTAAGGAACAACACTTTCATTTTTCCAAACGCATCGATTTTTATCTTTGCTAAACATTAGCCTAAACCAAAATTTTGACACATTATTCTATTTCCAGAAATTTTCTGCTTGGCCAAATTACAGAAGCTATCAAAGCTTTTTAGAACATGAACAGATAGAAATCCACCAAACAAATGTGGGGAAATGAAATAAGAGACTGAGCTGGAAAAACAATGCATGTGTTTTTTCCAGCAACAGCAGAAAGCAATGCTCTTGCAAGATGCAAGGAGAAACAGGAAAAAGTTCAATGTTCAAAACAAAATCCTTCTAGGAATTATAAATCAAATGGGAAGATGCTGTAAAGGAATTCTTCATAATGTTACCAGAATAACAAGAGTTTTGGCACCAGTAAACAACACGCTCCAACATGACCGTGATTTTGACCTCGGTATTCTCAGTTAATGGGGGAGCTTCAGACTCCTAAGTTTTTTGATTAAGGAGGACATGCGTGTGCTGCATCAAGTATAGTACCCAGCAGTACATCACACTGAGGACAAACCCATGGTTCACTACCAGGACATTCAAAAACATTTCTCATCAAAGGGAATACCATTAAAGTAAATGTTCTGTACTGCCACTGAGACCTTCTACAGAGGATCTGAAAGGCAATTCTCAGAAGTGACCCTGCTGAAATTACTCTTTGCTCTCAGCTTTATTTTTCTCCTTTATATGAAGGTTCTTTCACTTCCTTCAATAAGAAATTGGAACCCAAACAGAGAAAAGGCTGTAACCCAAGATCATCTGACAGAACAAGAACTGTCATGGAACCACTTCTCAACCA